TGGCTTTCAGGAGCTGTCCCACACTGACAGTATGGTCGATCCAAGCACTCCTGGTGAGGACGTGCACCACCGACACAAGGAGCCAAGTGTAGACACACCCAAGCAATGTAATTACTGCGGTGCCTGTATGCCGATGTAAGTTAGGTCAACTTAATTTTGTAGTAGGAGTACTTGTGGCACCTTAGAGACTAACAAATGTATTTGAGCATAAGCTTTCATGGGCTACTGATGAAGTGGGCTGTAGCCCACGAAAGCTTATGCTCAAATACATTTGTTAGTCTCTAAGGTGCCACAAGTACTCCTGTTCTTTTTGCGGATACAGACTAACACAGCTGCTACTCTGAAACCTGTCATTAATTTTGTAGTGTAGACATGACCTTAATCAGAATATAACAGCTAAATACCAAGTGGAATAGATTGTTTAGCACAAGTAGTGAACTCATATTTCAAGGGACCATTCCAGGTGAACATCCTTCCAGTCATAAGGAGGAACAAAAAGGGGCAGAGGGGAAGCAGTTGGGCAGGGATGGTTTTTAGTGGCTTATAGATTGTTGTAATAAGTCATAAATCCAGTGTCTCTGCTCAGTCCATGATTTTTAGCGTCTAGCAAAGTTATGAATTTAAGCCCCTGGCTCGTCTTTTGAAAGTGTTGTGTATGTTTCCTTTCAGAATGGGGATTGATAAAGTTTCCCAGACCACAAGAAGAGCTCTGTGTAAGCTCAAAAGCTTGTCTCTCTCACCAACAGAAGCTGATTCAATAAAAGATATTATTTCACCTACCTTGTCTCTTTACTATTCTGGAACTGACAGAACTACAACACTGCATACAATAGTGGGACATTTTGACATGTAAATATTGATTGTGTCTGCAAAGCAAAGGCATGAATGTTTAACAACATTAATTGCACCAGCAATGATTTGTGCCCTCAAAATTCTGCCTGTGGTTATTTGTGACCACAGACTTGTAGGTGCAGAAAGGGAGGGCGGGTTAATGCCAGACTGCAGATCAGGAAGCAAATTGGAATGCTACCTTAAAACTGCTTATTTATGGATAACAGTGATTCTTCTTTTTTCAGTCTTGTTTTGTTATAGCTACTAAAAACATTTTACCGTCTTAACCCGTGTAATTTAGTGCCCATTCCTTCACTGTTGTGGTCAGTGGGAGCAAGACTAGGTCATTTATTTTCAAACTGTACTGTAACACTAATACAGTTCAAACAGTCAAAATTTGAGGCTGTATTTAAATCCTCATCTTCTTGAAATTTCTCAATTTAAAATATGATGTTTGCCATGTGAGCCACCAGAGGGCAGCATTGCAGTTGGTATTTTTGTACACTGGCGGCAAATAAAAAACAAGCTGTTTATCTTTGTGGTCAAAGACAAATATTAAACAACACAATATAATGTGTTATAAAATCATAGTGTTCAAGCAGCTAAAATATAAGTATATGTATGTTAGAAAATTTTATGTATTTGTTCCTTCTCAGGCCAGCATATGTAGGTTTACTAATTTCAACATTTAACATTTTTTCTGGGGATTTTTTATGAAATATTAAAAAATTGAATGAAGGTAGAATTTTGTATTTCAGATCTTCCAAATTTTCCATGCAATTAATTACGTATAGGTTCAGAAACACAGGTGCATCTTGAATGTGTATATATTTTTTTGCCATATATTAGTGAAATATAGCAATTTTACAATCTATAAGCGTAAGCTAGAAAAAAGTATGACAATATACAGAATGATTAATAATTCTCAAGTGAATTCTCAATTATACTGTGATTTTATGCCCACTCTAAGGCCCATTTACACTGCCAGAAGAGAGTAAAAGGACCTCAGTGTAATGAGAATTCAGGCCCCCTTTTTTAAAGTGTTGTCTTATGACTATCTGTAACAGAAATGTGGTATGCCTCTATGTTTGCAGAAAGCTGCAGATCAATCTGCTTCTCCCGTTGCGGAGGTGGAGTTATGTCAACAGGAAAGCTCTCTCCCATCGACTAAGAGCGTCTTCACCAGACCCACTACAACTGCATAGGTGCATCTGTGCTCAGTATCACAGCTAAATACAAGGTGGAAGAGATTGTTTAACATAACTAGTTAACATACACCTCTACCCCGATATAACGCTGTCCTCGGGAGCCAAAAAATCTTACAGCGTTATAGGTGAAACCGCGTAATATCGAACTTGCTTTGATCCGCTGGAGTGCGCAGCTCCGCCCCCCTGGAGTGCTGCTTTACCACGTTATATCCAAATTCGTGTTAGATCGGGGTAGAGGTGTATATTCGAAGGGACAACTCAAGCTGAAGAGGCCCATTAAACCTCTTCAGTAATGGGGGGGGGGGGAAGGATTAGAGATTGTTGTAATAAGCCATAAATCCAATGTTTTTATTAAGACCATGATTTTTAGCATCTAGTAAAGTTATAAATTTAAGCACCTAGGCTTGTCTTTTGAAGGTGTTGTGCAGGTTTCCTTTGAGCATGAGGACAGAGAGGTCAGAGTGATCGCTTTGTAAAAAGTGTTCACCATAGGTGATATGGTGTTTTTGTCTTTATCATTTTTCTGTGAGAGTTCATCCAAGAGCATAGTGATTGTCTGGTTTCACCCACATAGTTTTAGTTGGGGCATATAGTGCATTGGTTCAAGTACACCCCATGTTGTGATAGGCATAGGACCCATGGATCTTGAAAAGCGTGTTGTGGGAGGTATTGATCATTGTAGCAGTGGAGATACAGCTACAGGTTTTGCATCTGTAATTCAGGCAGAGTCTGGTGCTGCTTTTTGTTGGTGTGGCCTGGTCTGTGAGGAGGTTGCTTCTGATGATGAGGTTGGGGGGGGGTGTTTGAAGACCAAAAGAGGGGGTTGGGAAAGATTTCTTTTAGAGTATAGTTCCCCATCAAGTAAGGGCTGGAATTGCTAAATGATACCCTGTACGGGTTTCAGTGTGAGGTAGTACGTGACGACTAGGGTTGTGTGGTTGGAGAGGGGTTTTTTTTCCATCCCCACCCTCCCCCCCGTATTGAAACAGGTTCTCTTAGGGTATTTGAGTGGCCTGTTCCATGATGCAATCTTTACCTTCAAAAGATGAGCCTATCACCCACTAACCCTCCTTTTTTGTCCTATGATTCCAGACATGTTAATCATAGAATATCAGGGTTGGAAGGGACCTCAGGAGGTCATCTAGTCCAACCCCCTGCTCAAAGCAGGACCAGTTCCCAACTAAATCATCCCAGCCAGGGCTTTGTCAAGCCTGACCTTAAAAACCTCCAAGGAAGGAGATTCCACCACCTCCCTAGGTAACCCATTCCAGTGCTTCACCATCCTCCTAGTGAAAAAGTTTTTCCTAATGAGCCACTTCAGTTTAAAAGGTCCCTTAGAATATGTGTTAACTACTTATGCTAAACAATCTGTTCCACCTTGTATTTAGCTGTGACACTGAGTCCCTCTTCCAGACCTGATCTGTGCAGCTCAAAAGCTTGTCTCTCTCACCAACAGAAGTGATATTATCTCACCCACCTTGTTTCTCTAATGTCTTGGGACTAACATGGCTACAACACTGCAAAAAGCAGATAATGTTGTTGTTCTTATTCCTACAGTTCTCTTCTGCCTCCATTGATGAAGTTAGGGCTACTCTACACTGGCCACGTTAAAGCCGCGGCAGCGCTTTAACATGGCTTGTGTAGTCGCGGCAGAGTGCTGGGAGAGAGCTCTCCTAGCGCTCTAAAAACCGACCTCCACGAGAGGCGTAGCTCCCAGCGCTGGTGCACTGTCTACACTGCCGTTTTACAGCGCTGAAACTTGCTGCGCTCAGGGGGGTGTTTTACAAATGTTAAATTCCTTTAACACCTGTCATAGACAGACACGTGTTCATTCCATATTTGAGAACTTTGTTGTGAATGTTCAAGTCATTGAACTTTGATATAATCTATGTCAGCAGCATACAGTACCTGCCATGTTGGGATTCTAATCCTACACTTTGTTCCATTCATTCAGAGCAGTTTGCCTGCACGGGAGCCATGTTGATTCCAGAGGGATTCTGTGTCAACACAAGGGGTCTAACCACAGTGAGAAAAATGTCAGGATTAGGGCCATAAATTGGTTAAAGGCAAATTCTAGTATATTGTGAAGAAGTGCTAACCAACCATTTGGAAAGTATTGTGTAGTCAGAGTCCATAGCCATTTTATTATTCATTTCAATGATAAGTGAAAGGCTAAACAACTGACTGACTGAGTTTCTCATGCTTACTCAAGCCATCATGGAAATCAGACATATAGTGGCTATGTTATCCTTTGTCTTAATTAAATGGTAGCAAAGCAAAAAGGCTGAATCTAAAAACAAGCAGCCTGCAGCACAGGCAGACAAATTAGGCAGAATGGGGTGATCGGCTCCTCTCACAACTGAAAAAAAAATTATATAAAAATGGAACAGCTAGACCAGGTGAGCTATGCTTGAGATTCCTATAGGACAGGACAAGAAATAATGGGCTGAAATTGCAGCAAGGGAGATTTAGATTAGACATTAGGAAAAATTCCTAACTGTAAGGGTAGTTAAGCACAGGAACAAATTGCCTAAGGGAGGTTGTGGAATCTCTGTTACTGGAGGTTTTTAAGAACAGGTTAGACAAAGGGCAGGTCTTCACTACGGGGGGCGTCAATTTAAGATACGCAAATTCAGGTACGCGAATAGCGTAGCTGAATTTGACCTATCGGAGCCAACTTACCCCGCTGTGAGGACGGCTGCAAAATCGACCTCCGCGGCTCCCCATTGACGGCGCTTACTCCCACCTCCGCTGGTGGAGTAAGAGCGTCGATTCGGGGATCGATTGTCACGTCCCGACGAGACGCGATAATTCGATCCCCGAGAGATCGATTTCTACCCGCCGATTCAGGCGGGTAGTGTAGACCTAGCCCAAGACCTGTCAAGGATGGTCTAGTTAATACTTAGTTCCCTGCACCGAGGCAGGACTGGACTAGATGACTTTGAATCCTACATTTCTATGATTCTGTGGTTGTCAGGCAATTAATAATATAGTGTTTATTAAAAATGAATAGTATATAGTTGGGTGGTTGGAAAAATTGGTCAGCATATTTTTCCCTCAAAGCAGTTATAATAGTGAGTCTGGTGCATCCATAGCTTTTCTGCACGGCAACAATTTTTGAATGTTTGATACTGATTTATAGAACCAAATTGTTGAATATAGTATTGATTGTTTCTTTGTGTCTTTTGAAATCTAGCACATACAACACGTTCTTTCATTGCATAAGCAGCAGCACAAAAGATGTATATTACCAATGGAAACTACTAATTTACAGATTAAACATACTGGTCCAGGCAGAAAGTCTGGACAGCCTTGACTGTTTCTTAAATTCATAGGTTCAAAAATACATGTTAAACTGTTGCAATTAGAAAATTGTTTCAGTTGCATCTTCATCAACAATCAATACAGAATGCCACACTTGGATTCTTTATTGTTACTGTTTAGGATGGAAGACTGAAGCCTGGAGACCAGCTTGTATCCATAAACAAGGAGTCAATGATTGGAGTCTCCTATGAAGAAGCAAAAAGTATAATCAACAGAACAAAGCTGAGGTAATTATTGTACTACAACAGCTAAACCCCCAAAGTGAAATCTTGTACAAGTTTTCTTTTGAGTAGTTTGAAATATTTTGTGAAATGTGGTTGAAGTAAGAAGACAAGTTCATGCCTCTGAAATATTAAATACTCTTATTACTATAAAAAAGCTCAAATATGTTAGCCAATCTAAGTGATGCAAAATTGTTAGGAAAATTTACCAGCTCCGTCACAAATGCTACTCACTTGTCCTTCACCTTCATAACTGATGATGAGGAATGAAATAAAAACAAGTGTCAAAAAAATTCTCACCCCAATGGGGCTTGGACAAGTAGAATTTTGCAAGGCTGCTTTATCATTTTATGAACAGTGTTGCATATAATATATGTAAACCATTTATTTTTAAATTTAGATCTGAATTTGCCTGGGAGATCGCTTTTATCAGACAAAGACTTTTTCCCAGTTACTTTGAAAATCCTCAAAGTCCTGGCAGTCTCTTGACATCTGCTGCTGGATGTGGACAGCAACAGACACGACTCGCGTTTAATCTTCTTTCACCTCCTAATGAGAATCCGGCTTCAAAGGTGTCCACATCCTACACTGTGAGTACAGTCTTGTCTCTTGTTTTAAAATAAGCCAAATAAGAGATTAATTTTCTAAATTAAAGAAATCCTATTGCAACTTTTTCCCATATTTTAGTATTAGATTAATGGCATGTAGTTACCATTCCAGTACGTGATTGGACCCCTCCTCAGAACATGCACTTTCCTGTGGTATTCCTGGGAGCTTTCTGGTAGATGTGTAAAATCTCTCTAGAATCAACAGTACTGGCCAATGGAATGAGAATATTAACTGAAATCATTAGTTGATTGGTCATCTCACTTCTCAATTAAATCTTAATTGTGACCCTAGGTTGTCAAATTCTTCTTTTGAAAAAATAAATAATATCTAACCATTTCCATTTTATATTTCAGATATGGAGGAGATTTTGAATATTAGTAAATAGTGAAGAAGAAGAATCTATTATTTAAAGATTTTTTTTACAGTGCTTATTACCATAACATAGGGGTTTATATACAACTTAAACCGAAAAATGAGAATTACATGAAGCCATGTACAATTGTTGAAGAGATTGAAGGGAGATTGAAGTGTTCACTTACTGGCTTTTGCATGTTACCATTCCTGATGTCCGATTTGTGTCCATTTATTCTTTTGTGGATGGACTTGTCACCACTGGCCATCACATACAGCCCCCAGCTAAAACCTCTCCAGCGCATTATCCACGATCTACAACCTATTCTGGAAAATGATCCATCACTCTCGCAGACCTTGGGAGGCAGGCCAGTCCTCGCTTAGAGACAGCCCCCCAACCTGAAGCAAATACTCACCAGCAACTACACACCACACCACAGAAACACCAACCCAGGAACCAATCCCTGTAGCAAACTTCGTTGTCGACTCTGTCCCCATATCTACTCTGGCGACACCATCAGAGGACCCAACCACATCAGCCACACCATCAAGGGCTCATTCACTGCACATCTACTAATGTTATATATGCCATCATGTGCCAGAAAATGCCCCTCTGCCATGTACATTGGCCAAACCGGACAGTCCCTCCGCAAAAGAATAAATGGACACAAATCGGACATCAGGAATGGTAACATACAAAAGCCAGTAAGTGAACACTTCAATCTCCCTGGTCATTCTATTACAGATTTAAGTCACTATTATTGAACAAAAAAACTTCAGAAAGAGACTTCAAAGAGAAACAGCAGTACTAAAATTCATTTGCAAATTCAACACCATTAATCTGGGCTTAAATAGGGACTGGGAGTGGCTGGCTCATTACAGAAGCAGCTTTTCCTCTCCTGGAATTGACACCTCCTTATCTGTTATTGGGCGTGGACTACATCCACCCTGATTGAATTGGCCGTGTCAGCACTGGTTCTCCGCTTGCGAAGAAACTCCCCTCTCTCCATGTGTCAGTATATAATGCCTGCAACTGTAACTTTCACTCTATGCATCTGAAGAAGTGAGGTTTTTACCCACGGAAGCTTATGCCCAAATAAATCTGTTAGTCTTTAAGGTGCCACCAGACTCCTTGTTGTTTTTGTAGGCTACCCCCAATACTTAATTAATGTAGCACATCATTAGTGCAGACGAAACTATTTTAGTGTGCGATGGTGTGAAAGTTTTTTGAAGACCAGAGAAAGCTGACTATTTTAGAACAGCCCTCTGTTTTCTGTCTTTTTTAAAATATATTTAATTTCTAGTTCTTTTTAGAGGTGAACAAAATATTCTATTTGAATAAGCTGGAGTTATAAAGTTATTTTTTAGACTATGTAGTCAAAGGAGACATGTTTGAAATAGATGCCTTTGTATTCCTTTTCAGAAACATCCTATGTAGGGTGCAGCCACACTTTTTTGGTGTTCATTGTGATGGTTATTCTGCAGATAATGAACCTCAGAGACTAGAAAATATGACCATGTTTTTTATATTGCTATTGTGTAATGCTAAGTTTGTATACACTTACGGCTCTGCCAGAGGGACAGAGCCTTTCAACTATAGCTTACCAGGTCAAGTTCAGCTGTGGTCCCTAATGACCCATTGTTATTTGATAGTTGTTCAGGAGGCTATACCTAATTACTTTGGTATCAGTCCATTTCCCTGTTCCATTTTGAACTAATGCCCCATCTGCCAATAGTCTTGGCAAAGAGGCAAAAACTGGATACACCATGAAAGACAGTCACTTTTGCAGCTTTCACCAGCACTAAAATTCAGGTGCAGAAAACAAGATGAGGGGAAAACAAGCCCTGTAAAACAACCAGAGCAAGTGTTTATCTGCTATAGAAGTTTTTCTAATATGTTACATGATTTACAGTATACTGCACCCTATTAAATATGTGGCAAAGTGGCCCTCTTCTGTTTCAGCACTAGGTTTGACACTTTTAGTACAAACCTCATCAGTAATGATCTATAATAAGTTTTCTAATAAAATGTCTAATTTATGGGCTTTTTATTAAAATATCTATGTAATAAACATCACGTATGCTTTCTGAATTGAAAAACAACTCTTTAAAAGCCGTAAAATCATCAATGTGGGCTACACCTCAGACAAAGCAAGTTTCCATTGGCTTCAATTACTTTTTAAATAGGACCATATAAAAAGTACTCTGTAGTGCTTAGGCACGTGGGTATACCACAGTAGCCTTTACATTCTGAATGCCATTGCTTTTTATGGTGCCTGTAAGAGTTTAAATGTAACATTGGTTTTTGGCTTCAGTATTCTTCCAGTATTGTTTTAATCTACTCAGCCACCCATTTTTTTAAAGGTTAACATATGTTTCTAGTCTGGTCTTTGACCTACTTTAGCAAATGTCATTTCATGACTTGTGATTTTCTTTCGTAGATGAAAACGGGATTCAAGAAAAGAGAACAATCTCCAATTACTTCTGCAGACAGCAGCCCTGCTGATGTGTCTTCTACTGGTAAAGGCTTATTTAATTTTTTTCCCCTTATTTTTTGCAATTACTCTTCCACAGAGAGTAGTACACAATGTGATTTACTAGGCTTAAAGGAAGGGTGTATGGGCCATTTTTCTAGCAGTGAATAAAAAGCTAAGATAAATGGATTGTTCAACAATCCCTGTCAAATATAATTTACGTTGGACAGTTTCTTGGACAAATAGTTGAAACTAAACAAAGACAAATGATCATAACGTTTCAGTACAGCAATAGTAATCAATAGATTCAGTTGAAACCAGATAATGAAGACTCACATATAAATCAAGACTAGGTTGCCATAGAAACAGTGCTTTCTCAGTTTGATGAAATGCTGTAGAAGTATATTGTGTGTATTTTTTTTTTAAGGAGGGCAGTTTTTTTTTATTTTAGGAACATAATTGTTAAAGTGGCTTATATGTGATAATCACATCTCTAGATATATATTTTGGAGGTGCTGAAGGAAAAATAATCAGAGATCTGATCTTTCACAACAACTAGATCTGACTTGGCAGTGATAAATCCCTCAGTGAGATTATTTGTATAGTATTTATGAATAATGAAAATGCACAGGCATGACATACACACTTACATTGGTGTCAAGTATGGCTACACTAATGGTTGTGCTCTGTACTGCTATGCAGTAAACCTGGAGCCCTCTTACCACTCAGTTGGTACAAATGGGGGCAGCGTGTTCATTACATCTGCCTCTCTAATTGATTAGTCCACATGACCAAGAACTCCTGTCTAATTTGTCAAGAGAGGGAGGACCAACACAGAGGACCATAATGTCACTCCACTGACATTACCTAAATTGCGCTAGAGATTAAGATACCCTAATTCCAAATGAAGCAGTCTGATTGGGATCTTGACCAACTTTGCATAAGTAGAGAGATTCCCCAAGGGGTTAACTGGCTGAATACCAACTTTTGGAACTGGAGAGGTCACAGTATTTCATACAGCTTGAGTTAAATAATCAGACCTCTTGATCACATTGCCCATGAAAACTACCATGACTAGATTAGATCAGAAGCATTACAAGACAAAGGCTTCTTTGACCTACCGTTTAGGGCTTCTTTTTTAGTTAAAAGGAGGGGGCACATGTGAGCTGAGCCACATCTTTTTGGGATCTTTTCGGGATCCAGACTTCTCAAACCAATGTATTTTTAAATGAGAGATCTATGCAAGAGACAAAATACAGTGGTTGGGGGCTTAACAGGGATGAAAATATGCCCTTCCCTCCCTGCTCAAAACAGTGGGGCCCTATATCTATTTTGATCACAGTTAAAGATTTTGGACATATGTGGTAGAGTCATCCTTCCCCTACCCCGTTCATATACTATGGGGAAAAAATTCAGCCATCCCAAGGGGTTGGCTTAGTGAGCATAATGAGTAATTATGGGTCTAAGTGGCCATGCTTCAGGATTGACACATGCAGTTTAGTTGTAGCCATGTTGGTCCCAGGATATTAGAGAGGCAAGGTGGATGAGATAATCTCTTATTGGATCAACTTCTGTTGGTGAGAGAGACACGTTTTCGAGTTTACAAAGAACTTCTTCACTGAAAAACAGCCCTTTGGAAGCTTGAGAGCTTGTCCTCTCACCAGCAGAAGTTGGTTCAGTAAAAGATATTACCTCACCCACTTTGTGGCTCTGTAACATGCAGTTTAGTGAGGGCCAGATTCTCAGCTGGTGAAACTTCATTGGCTTCAATCCACAAATAGAATTGAATTGATTGGATTAAATCAGATGAAGTCAGTGACACTACATCAGTTTATACCAGCTGCGAATCTAAACCTCAATTTTGGACATTTGTCCCTGCGTCTCCACCACAAAAAATTCATTTGCCAAGGACAGTCCCCATGGGAACCAATTCCCAATGATATTTTAAAAGGGACTAAGAAGGCTACAGTGTATTACAACATAAACAAGGTGACTCTACCAGTTGCTGTACAATCTATACTATACTATCCCATATGCTATCTCTGGGCTTCCTTCGTTCCATTCTCATTTGACAACATGGCCTTGACTGAAACTGCTACTTCTGTCACACACCTCTTCTTCAATGCTAATGTGAGACAAAGATCCAAGCTCTTGGATCAAAAATTGCTGTGATTAAGAAAAATCAGCGTAACTTTGAGACGTGCTTGAAAAAATTCATGCATAAAGCCAATGACCCAATAGTTTTGTGAGCTTAGTATGCACACACTGACTTCAGGGGAGCTATACCGATTTACTCTAGCTTAGGATGTAGCCTGCTGTCTTTAGAATTTAATATAGCATGCCAACAGTATTGGTGTTACAGGTTTCCAAAAAGATGTTTTGTTGAGCACATATGGAGAATATAAATTAGTTTGAGCTTGGAAACAGATATTTTATGAATTACAAAATCCAGTTTTGTTTTGTTTTTTTGTTTCTATTCTGTGTTTTGGAGATGGTCCCAAGCTGCAGAGTCCTGAGGTTTTCAGATGCAGATTTTGGTTTGAGCCCATCTCAGTCTCCATCTTGATGAAATAATAAAATAGGACGAAGAACTAATTAAGAACACTAGTTACTATGTGATTGTTTCTCAGAATTTCAGCCTTTTAATAAGAAGTGTTTTGAATTCCTTTCCAAATTAGGGAATTTAAGAACTTCACATTGATGAGCCTGTCCATAGCATGTCCCTCTTTGTACCTAGCCCTCTGCAAAAACTCAGCAAGTGGATTTATTGTTTGTTCTATTTTAAATAAAATGTTAGTGCATCTAAAATCTAAGTGAAGCTACAAATTTGCTGCAGTGCATATAGCCATCAGTCAAAGGCCCTGAAGAGCCTCCTGCTATTTTCCTGGTGTACTGAGATGTTTCTCCAACAACTGAGAAAGCCAGAGCACTCTGGCAAAGCTATAGTTGATTTTTCCTGTATTGTTTACCCTGCAAAAGAAATCTGTAGGTGTGAAATCTTTTGTGTTGGCTGCTTATAATTTTGGACTCACTTTTCCCCAGAATTTATAATTTGCACGTAAGGGAAAATAAACAACTGCATCCGAATCCTAATGTATTAAGGCATTGTTTAAATTATGGAAATTGTTACACTCTTATCGGTAAGTAGGGGCATGGGAGGAGGGGCCTCAGAGAAGGGGAGTTTCCCATTCCCACTAGGCACGAGGAGAAGCCAGAAGGGATTCACTCCAGGCAAGATCCCTAATTCAGCTCTGCCCCTCAGTGGCAAGAGATAATCCCTCCTCTTGACACAGTGCCTCCTGCTATTTACTCAGAGAATATATAGAACCGACCAGTTCCTTATGTTAAACACCTGGAATTGACAGTTGCAGAAAAGCTAACGAATGAGTGACATCTCTGAATTAATAAATGTTTTTCCCAACCTGTTTCCAAAAGCACTCTGTATGTATTCCATGAAAGAAGGTAATGTCAGACATGTTTTCAGTTCCGACATGACCTCATGCTACATACTTTTGTTAATCTTCCCTCCCATTATGGTGAAAATTATAAAATGGTTTACCAGTGGTTAAACAGGGTCTATATTTCCTCTTTTGGGTATTTAATGAATATTTTAGTAATGTACCTTTTAGCATTTAAGAAAAACATCATAATAAACATTAGAGTTCATTCCTGCAATCAGGTGATTAGCTGGAATTATTTTGAACAGCAGGACTTCAGAATACATTCTTCAGAGGGAAAAGTTCCAATTAAAATTCCAATTAACGTACAATCTGTTGTCTCTTAGCTGTTGCTTCCAACTGGACTGAAGATTATGGACCACAAGAAAGGAAGATTTCTCTGAACCCCACTGTTCGTCTCAAAGCAGAGAAACTGGAGATGGTAAATAGTGCTTAATATTGTTTTCTATTTTTTCCATAATCAGTGAATGTAAAATGTCTAAAGAAAATGTCTAGCTTGACTACTGCATAAATAGGTAAAAAAGAACTAATTACTTCCCAAATGTATAGCTCTTTCAGGCTCTGTATCCATATCTGACTTTACTTATTGGGCAAATCGTTAAATGGCTGGTTGGGTCAATCCATTTAATTTTTAACTGATTTAATTTTAAACTGCATTATTTGCTGAGCATCTTAAGTCCACACATCATCGTTTTGAAAGAGGATATTGAAAAAAGGAATTTCACTCATTTCTATCCATCCTTCCTTCCTTAGGGTTTTATACGGATACCCATCCCTGTAGTTTCTGAGTGCCTCCCACATAAAATTGATAGCAATAGCAAAGTCCCTAGTGAACTTTATGGAGTCTCTGGCACAAAATTATAGCCAAAACGTTAAGAATATAAACAACGTGAAATAAAAGCTAGGTACAGAGGAAAGAACAAAGTGCCAAAGGCTCACAAATAGAAAAAAATAAATGCAAACAAAGCCACATACATAAGTCTTTTTATTATTATTATTATTATTAAAAAAGGCAGGGAGCTAAAATTTAAGGAGAGAAATATTGAGATACTCACAAGGGTACATGGAGATATGATGAGTAAAAGAAGATGAAAGAAGCCAAAGAAATTGTGCCTACAAAGAAGTAACATCCTGGAGAAGATTCATGTGGGAAAAGTAAAAAACAGATGAGAGAGATGCAGAAGGAAATAAGATGCACAAAAGTACTGTAGAAGGGCAGATCAGTTACATACATTTTTGCTGAAACATGCAGTACATATTTAAATTGATTCTTTCATTTTCCCTAGCACTGTCAGCATGCAATAGTTTGATCTAACATTTTTATTTATCTTTCCTGCATGACATAGTATATTTCAGAAGGAAATACAAATGGGCATATTTTTATGAACATTTTTATTTGTTTCTTATTTTGATCATAAAAAACAAGTGTCAAGGGGGTAAAAGATAAGGAACAGTGTTTAAAGTAACAAAAAGATCTAATTATGGTTTGGAGTTCATTTGAGAATGCTAGACTGCATTATACGTTCAATTGATCTCTTTCAACATTCCATGAGCGACTGCAGTAGAGGAGTCTGCTGTTAGCATTATTTTACCTTAAATAATACTCAGGTCATTGGAGCAAGAGGATCTAATTGTGAGTTGGAGGAAATGTAGCTATACAGTGAAAACTGTCTTCAGGTGCTCAGCCAGGAGACCATTAAAATCATCTAGCTAATAATACATGATAAAGATGAGGGGGAAAATCTCTTGGGTCCTCATGTCCATGTCTCTACCACTGCAGAATTGAAGTTGATAGGTCAATATTAAGCGCATAAGTAGGTCCTATTGATATGCTTAAAGTTAAGCACCTGCCTAGACATCTGGTACCTTGGCCTTTGAAGTGGAGAGCCATCTTGCATGTTGCCCATATAAATTGATGGCCAGTTGACAGCTTGTAATGTATGCATCCAGTTGAGAGATAACAGATTATAAGGATGAAGTGCATGAGGCTTCCTCATTCCAACCAACCTCTCTCCCTGTTTTAGTCTCTCTCCCATTTAAAGATGCCTAATCCATCTTCTATCTTATCCCTCCATATCTGAAAATATTCTGGAGAAAAGAACATGTGATGAATCTGGAGGTGCTCAGTAATAATTATTGGCCTGTAACCCAAAATCTGATTATATGCCCCAAATTAGATGGCATGCTAAAATGGTGTGATAGACTTCCACTACTAGAAGAGTTTCAGATGGTTTCAACACTTTCACCTATAGGGGGGGAGAGTCATCAGACAAGGGATTACAAGCCATTGAGACAGAATGGGTCTACCTACCAAACAAGGAAGCAGCTGTCAAACAGTCTGAGGCAAAAAGACGACTTCATACATGGGTTCTGAAACAAAGAAATTATCAAGCAATATAGAAATTGAACCCATGCACACACAGAGTAGGTGGGGGCATTTAAAAATGGAGCTGTCCTGAGAGAGGAAAATCTGAGACACTCCCAAGGCAGGTGGTCTGAGAAAAACAGCGGGGCATGCTGTCATTTGAAAGTTCCACTTTGGTCCTCCTCAGTCCAGCCAGAGCACTTATGTGCATATTTGACTTTAAGCACACAAAGTCCCTTTATATGCAGTAGGATTGCTCAAATGTTTAAAGTACGTGTATTCTTGAGTGCTTTGTTGGGCCAGGCTTTAACCAGCAGGTTTTTTTCTTGAGCAATTTGCATTTGTCATAAATTATTGTCTTGTGCTATTATCCAGAAACTATTTCCATGGTATTTACTTTATCTCAGCCATTTTAATAACAATTAAAGGAAAACAGGTATGAGCAATGGGCTGTCCATTTAATGATGATTTATGACAATAAACATCTTTGTGTGCAATATTCAAAAATTTTGAAGCAATGTCTTTAGAATATGAGATTTTTTATCATTCATTAATTTATAAGTCCAAGCTTCAGTCCAATCTAAAGGATTTAACTTTGATTATATTTCTATCTTGAAAAAATAGTCACTCATTTTCATGTTTTGAAACCAGTGTGTCTTTTTGGTTCAGTTAACTACTTCTGCATATAACTTAATTTACATTAATATTTGGCTCCTTTATTGCATAATTTGTCTTTGTTACAGCATTTGTAGACTGTTTACATGCCATTGAATAGTTTGTTTTGCAAATTATTATATTTATATGCAATTTTCAGGTGTACTCTACCACTCCATTATGTTTAGTCCTCCCTACTTCCATTAGCACTATAAAGAAACCATTACCAGTTATGTATATCAGCACTATCTTGTATGCTGTGTAATGTGTGCTGAGTTATTTACTTCTTTTTTTAAATTCAGTCTTATAAAACCTATTTGAGGTACACAAACTAATAATTCCCCGTGACTCAAAAATACTGGCACCAAATTTAATTTACCTTGACAAAAAATTAAATAAATACAAAATCTGTGAGTGAAAGCAAATGCTGAAACTTTATATGAAATATCAAATGTGCTGAAGGTCCAAGTGAGTCAAAATAGGGATATTGTGTGGAACCACGGGCATAAGTGTGGCAACTGATGCCCGTTTTCTTTTACTGGCCTAGTATAGTCAAAGTTTCTTCAGCCTCAGGTAGTTTCTGAGAGTGTTGTAAATCGACACTCATATAATACAGTGATGACGATAATATAAACGTGATGATAGTCCTAACCTTAATGTTTTCAGAGCAAAATATGATGATCATGGAAAAATTGTACTGAGCCACAAGTAGAATATATTAATAAAGACAGCTACCCCGGTGAGTCACCAGAGCCCATTCTGTCATCTTTCTTATTTGTCTGTCTTTGAGGAGGTTTAAGAAATAGTGACCACACAAGACACAACTTGTTAGTGAAGGAGAGCTATAATGAAAAGGCTTTTTTCCCCATTTGAGGCAGAGATCTCTAATCCCCATTTAAAAAAAAAAACTCTTTGTCTTCTAGGCACTCAATTATCTTGGGATTCAGCCCACAGACGAACAGCAGCGAGTCCTAAGGCACCAACTACAGAAAGATTCTAAAGGAACAGTGTCTTTTGGAGGTAACCATTTGTAGAGTGCCCTGGAAAATAATGTAACATAGAAGCAGAGAGCTTATAATATCAGTTTATATATTTTCAGTTATAATAACCTTCCCATCAATGTGAGTTATTACTGTCATAAAAACAATTCTCCGTGGTGAGGCGAGATTGTGATTCTACTATTTAACAATGAACTTGCAATTCTGGAACTAGCCATCTGTAATGGAAATCCGATTTCTCCTTTATGAAGATCAGTTTTAGCTCACTAGCCCTTAAGTGCACTGTGCTCTCACTTATACTAATGAATTTTCAACTTTGCCTTGAAAATAGGGTATTATTATTAAGTCTGAGGGGTTTTTTTAAATGAAAATGGTTTTCGTATTTAAGAAATCACTGCTTTCTTTCAAAAATAAAAGCACAAAGTATCTATTTTATAGCAAATTCATTTTCGCAAACTACTTAATTCTAAACAATATTTCTTGTATAATAGTTTCCTAAGAAATAGTCATGAAATTGAAGCATGCAGTGTCATTTTAGCTGCTACTAATTTAGGCATCACAAACCTTAGAAGTTAACCATTTTTCTTCTCTGAATTTCTTAAAAATTAAAGTTCTTAAATTCAAATCAATAAATAAAAATATAGGTATACATTTCTTTATTTTTAAATTGCATAATAAATCAAAGGAATTGTGTGTCAGGTCTCCATTCTATGTCATCCAGCTTTTCTATAAAATGATCTCTTGAATAACCTACAACAAAATTAGTTTCTTTCTCATTCTTGATCTCAGCAACTGAACTGTAGAATTTCTAGTATCTTATTTATTTAATATTTGTCCAATCCATGGGACTGAAACTAAAACACAAGTCGAGAAAATAGAAGCAAGTTCCTGGCTTCCTCATCCTGGTTAAGATTTTCCAGTTAAGATTTGGAGAGAGTGGTGTCACTTATAATGAATGTCACTTGCTACCAGCAACTAGATAGCTCAGAAGTTGTCCATGCATTTACCCTGCTTATTTTGTTTAGCTCATGAGAACTGAGAGCAGTAGGGCTGAAGGCTACAATGAGACACTCCACATGGAGACCTTCCCCTGCCCCATTCAACATGATGTTGCTTCTGACCAAAGCTAATTCTAGCAGAGGCGGGTGAGCTCATCAAATTGATAGTATCAGTCACTCACTGTGAGAGGCTTGATATTTAATCTCCCTCTAGCCTCCAGTAGCCATTGCAGCAGTGAACTCTGTTTTTCATTCTGGCTAAACAGGTAGCTTAGACAAAGGTCATTGATACTGCAGTGACTTTTGTGTTTCAGCTCCATCCTAGGTAGGCAGCTGGCCAAAAAACATGCAACACAATATGTGCAGTACCCCATCAGGGGTTTGGGAGCTTACATAGAAAAAGGTAAAACTCAGAGTGGTACAAAGATTTCCTCTTTTCCTGTAGAGTCAATATATCTGGCCCCTAAAGGATCAGTCTACTCCAGAGGCGATCCTTTGCTGGTATAGTATGAGTATAGGCTGCTCTAATTTACGCCAGGAACCTTCCAAGCATAAACCATCTCTAGAATTGGGACCAGCAGAGGTGTGGTTTACATCACCTTTTTCTCCCTCCCCAACAAAACTTTCCCAATTGCAGTTCAGTCACATACCAAGACCTCAGCATATGTTTTTAAAACTCCATTTTCTGATTTTTTTTTACAAACTTCCTCAAAAGAACTCTGTGCTGAGATAAGAAGCTGCAGTCAAAATTGCAGGTAGATTGTTTCATCTTTCAGGAAGTTAATGGAGGAGTTGAAAATTCATACTTAAATGGGAGCTCAACAGTGAATATGGAGAGGCTACTGCTACTCCATAATTTAGGCTGTCAGACCAGCACCTTACACAAGCACTGCATTCATTTTTAATAGTAGTTGCAAACAGTTTTAAACTAGGGAAAAACAAACTGACTCCTATAAAATTGGTGCCACAGACTACAGTAACTAAACTCTGTTTTAGATTTTGTTCAGGTTGCAAGAAATCTGTTCTGTTTGCAGTTGGATGAAGCAGGTGGTGGCCAAAGACCTATAACATTTGGCGCCAGTGAAATTGCCAATTTATTAGATTCACAGGTAAAGTATCTGCTGGAGCTCAGTAGTATTTATCTATTGTGAAGAATAAGTTAACAAAGGTTAATTTACTTAAAACTATTCCAATTCTTGGACACATTTTTGAAAGAGTTTCATATCATGGTTTTCTTTAAAGTAACCTAGTTCCTAAGAAGCCTTGTTAAAGCAACCTAGTTTGCAGGAAGCAATTCACATAAATATGTTGTGAATTGGGATGAGTGGATAACAGTATTTTATTGACAGGACTGCTGATTGCTTCCAGCAGTGTGAGTAATAAACAATTATGTGGCACAGTGATTTGGACCTCTATTGCACTCGGAAATCACTTTATTTTAAAGGTAATTTTTAACAATGAAGGCCTATATAGAACCCCGATGGGTTAGAAATACTGAATGTAATTTATTCCTTATCTGAGATCAAATGGAAGGGGGAAGGTAGTCAGATTAATTGGCACTGTTTTCTCGGAAATTTTTGTGGATAATTTTTGTTAATCCATTTTAGCAAAGCATGTTATTTTTTCATTGCTGGAAAACCTGTGACTAGAGCTGGTCAGAAAATGTCAGTTAAAAATTAGTTTAAACCAACATATATATATATATATATTTTTTTTTTTTGTTCCAAACTGAAAGTTTTCATATTTGGTTGCTGAAAACCTACAATATTTTGGAGAAACAAATTGCATTTTCATTAATTTTTAATAGCTAAAAAAAGTTCTTTATCAATTCTTCCTGTGATTTTCTTTTAACAAGACTCTGTTGTTAAAGAGATCAGGCATTGTGATAGATGCATTTAACCAAATATTAGTTTCTATTAAGTTTCCCCTTTTTCATATTTTAATACATACAGCTTGTATCCTGTGATTCTTTGGAAATGGATGATGTGGAAAGACTTAAAAGAGAAAGAAATGAAGCTTTAAAAGAAATAAGTAAATTGAAGGTAATATTTAATTCTGATCACTTTAAAAAAATGAAATAATCCATTTAAGGAAAGATAGCATTTAACCTGAATTTGAATTGTATGTGTATAGTATAAAAAGTATTGGTACAAGAGAGAATAGTATTCACTGGTATCCAAAGAGCATATGCATATAATGTGTTTATATAGAAATTGACCTTTACTCCCTATACTGAATGCCTGTGCTTTTTTCTAGCCTGAATGTCAGGGGGAATTAGACTAGAGACATTTCACAGAGGTACATTGTGTGTATGTGATTTATCTGATCTATTTAGAAAGTTATGTGGCCCCAATC